TTCTGAGCATCCTTCAACATCTGTTGCGGCTCGATCCGAAAGACGCCGCGAGCGATTTGGCGTGGGACACGGCGGAAACGTTGGTCCACAGAGCAACTCTGTTGGAGAATCGAGAAGACGCTACCAAGCTGTTGCGTTCGCCTAGCCTTCAGGTATGTCATATATCTCCGATCTTAATCGTGCAAACGTCGGATTCGATTTCGATATTCGCATTCCAGGCGAATCTCTGCTGCCACTGTCGGGCCACCGATCAAACGTGCGGAACATCACGNCAAAAATGAAAACCATCAATTGGAACAAGATACCTAATCACAAGGTGATCGTTACATCCATCATTTTCTTTCTTTTTTTTTCTTCTTCCTTTCTTTCTTTTCTTCTTTATTTTTTCTTTCTTTATTTTTTTCCTTCTGTTTTTCTTTCCTTCTTCTTTATTTCTTTTTTTCCTTCTTTCTTTCTTTTCTTCTTTCTTTCTTTCTTTCTTTCTTTTCTTCTTTCTTTCTTTCTTTATTTCTTTTCTTCTTTATTTTTTCTTTATTTTTTTCCTTCTGTTTTTTTTTCCTTCTTCTTTATTTCTTTTCTTCTTTCTTGCTTTCTTTATTTCTTTTCTTCTTTATTTTTTCTTTATTTTTTTCCTTCTGTTTTTTTTTCCTTCTTCTTTATTTCTTTTCTTCTTTCTTGCTTTCTTTATTTCTTTTCTTCTTTATTTTTTCTTTCTTTCTTTATTTTTTTCCTTCTGTTTTTTTTTCCTTCTTCTTTATTTCTTTTCTTCTTTCTTGCTTTCTTTATTTCTTTTCTTCTTTATTTTTTCTTTCTTTCTTTATTTTTTTCCTTCTGTTTTTCTTTCGTTCTTCTTTCTTTCTTCTCTTATTTCTTTCTTTCTTTACTTCTTTTCTTCTTTATTTTTTTTCCTTCTGTTTTTCTTTCCTTCTTTATTTCTTTTCTTCTTTCTTTCTTTCTTTATTTCTTTTCTTCTTTATTTTTTCTTTATTTTTTTCCTTCTGTTTTTTTTTCCTTCTTCTTTCTTTCTTTTCTTATTTCTTTCTTTCTTTACTTCTTTTCTTCTTTCTTTCTTTCTTTCTTTCTTTTCTTCTTCCTTTCTTTCTTTACTTCTTTTCTTCTTTATTTTTTCTTTCTTTCTTTATTTTTTTTCCTTCTATTTTTTTTCCTTCTTCTTTATTTCTTTTTTTCCTTCTTTCTTTCTTTTCTTCTTCCTTTCTTTCTTTACTTCTTTTCTTCTTTATTTTTTCTTTATTTTTTTCCTTCTGTTTTTCTTTCCTTCTTCTTTATTTCTTTTCTTCTTTCTTTCTTTCTTTATTTCTTTTCTTCTTTATTTTTTTTCCTTTTGTTTTTCTTTCCTTCTTTATTTCTTTTCTTCTTTCTTTCTTTCTTTATTTCTTTTCTTCTTT